TTTGTATTCTTTAAGTCTTCAGCATGGAGCATCTTAATTGGTCCTCACCCTTCAAGAAGGGTTTGATGCCAATGCCATCAGTCCTCAAGGACCGGTCTCAGCCTCAGGCATGATAGCAGGAGAAAATGATGGCAGCAGATGCATGTCTAAGGAAAGAAGCAAACACAAGACTCAAGGAGGAAATGCAGGGATAGGCTGTGGAGGCTAAAGAAAGAGGTCAACCAGCTGCCATCTTAGACCTCTATTCTTTCCCCATATGTTGTTTGAGTCAAACAGAAAATACTGTGTTAGTATAGTTGGTTTGGGACCATCCTACCTACGAGACCGCATCACAGTCTACGAACCCACACGCTCGCTCTGGTCATCAGGAGAGGCCCTGTCCGTGATCCCACCTGCCTCGCAGGCGCGTTTGGTGGGGACGCGGGACAGGGCCTTCTCTGTGGTGGCCCCCCGCCTCTGGAATGCCCTCCCGAAAGATCTCAGACAGGCCCCCACCTTGGCGGTTTTTAGAAAAAACCTGAAAACCTGGCTATTCCAACGTGCCTTCTCAGATTAGGAACCCCACTACCAAAGCCCAGAAGCACTTTAGTAGAGTCAAGATCACCCTCAACGCACACCGCACTTATACTTTAATCTCATATCCCCCCGACACTTTTTCAGCACTTTTAACCCTGTACCCCACTTCAGCCGGCTCAGTTTTTAATAATGTCCTGTTGTATTGTTATTGCTGTTGTTTTTCTGCTTTAACTGTTTTATTTGCTATATATTGTATTGTTGTATTGTGTTGTGTTGGGCTCCGGCCTGTTGTAAGCCGCATCGAATCCCTTGGGAGATGCTAGCGGGGTACAAATAAAGTATAATAATAATAATAATAATAATAATAATAATAATAATAATAATAATAGAGAAATTATCATAAAAAGGGCAAGAAAATCTCTTTGCTCACTTGATAAATCTGGACCAAAAAACAGTGAAGTAAATTATTTTGATTAATTCGTCTTTAGTGAAGCAAAGTGCAAAGCAAAATTCTGCTAACCTTTAGTCACTGGATGTCCTGATCAAGAAAACACTGAAATCTTGAAGTGATGGCAAGATTTAATAAATAATAATAATAACAACAACAACAATAATAAACCTTATTTATCCTCCGCCACCATCTCCCCCAACGGGGACTCGGGGCGGCTTACATGAGGCCAAGCCCGAACAACATATTACAGCGAAATAAAACCAAAAACACAAACAACAAGAAACAACATCATAATTACATAAAAACATATGAATACATTAAGCAATATAAAATTACAATAAACACAATCACAGTGACAATGGCCAGGCCACATGTGCAGGATAAAATGTTAAAAACTCAGGGTGAGATAAAGGAGAAGCAGGTTATTTGCAAAGGAGAAATCATCAAAACAGGGTTGTGAAACCAAACTTTCCCACAAGGGGGGACGTGTACTTCAGGGACAGAAACATTGATGGGAGCAGTAGTGTCATGTTGTACACCTACTCACCAAAGGCACAGAAGAAGAGCCAGGTTTTAAGGTTCTTTTTAAAGGTTTCGAAGGTAGGGACTTTCCTAATCTCTCCAGGTAATGAGTTCCAGAGTTGGGGGCCATAGTGAAGGCTCTCTCCCTTGTGCTCACAAGACGAGCCAGTGACACTGGCAGGGGCGAAAGGAGGACCTCCCCCGAAGATCAAAGGGCTGGTTCATGGAGGGAGATACGGTCACAAAGTTAGGCAGGTCCCAAACCATTTAGGGCTTTATAGGTGATAACCTGCACCTTGAATTGGGCCCAGAAAATAAACGGCAGCCAGTGGAGCTCCTTAAACAGGGGGGTTGACCACTCCCTGTAACTTGCCCCTTCCATTGCTGCAGCTGCAATGGAAAGCACTAAAATCCCAGTAATGCCTGATACTGAGCTTAAGTGCTGCACCTGACAAGATCAAGAAGCATATTTATGGCAGAGATACTGGAAACAAAGCTGATATCGTCCCCACATATACACATGCACATGGTGTGATACACCACCTGCATGAACTGATAAATGTGACAGGGTATTGAAGAAAGCATTGACAGCATCACCCAAGACATAGTTGCCTTTTCATTGTTTTACCCATAGAAACCTTGGATACAGTCACACAGTTTCCACACCTGATCCCCAGTGATGAACTGGAAACTGTGGAAGAACACTCCAGCCAAGCATTTCTGTTCAGTTTTGCAATTTTTCAAAGCCCTCGTGTCCTGTTCTGCAGGCTCTGCTGGTCACAAAGGAGTCAAATCAATCAGAGAAACAAGCACCACACCTCCTTTGCCCACCCCCTGCTTGCCAACACATCTGGTCAACCAGATGGGAAAGCACCATGATGGGGATGGGTGCTGGGCAGATTCCCCAGACTCCTCATTTGCCTGTTTGCCATCATCCCAAACATCTGGGCTTGCTTATTGAGTGCCAGCATCATAAAAACACCTAAAGTGCTTTGGTGCTTCGATATTCCAGCTGGCACTGGAGAGGGAATTTCAACATGGGGCAGGATGAGAGCCTTGCGAGCCCACAGGGGGCTGTTTGTTTTGAAAATTGCAGAATTAGTGTCAGCAAGCAACCTGTATCGTGTTGCGTGAGCTTCAGTCACTGGGAACATGAAGCCGAAAATGTTTCAGGAAGAAATCTTTTGGGTTGCAGTGAGAAATCTTTTGTTAGTATCACATGACTTTAGCCAAAAGAAGGAGGAAAGGGAGCAACCTGTATGTCTCTTCATTCTATGTTCTACAAAGTGGTTTATTTGAAAGGGAAACCTTCTTGGCTCTGTTACCAGTCAAATGAGTAGTCTTTTAACACAGATTGGACCATTCACCTTGTGAATTTTAGAGCACTTTCAAACCACAGATAAATAGCAAGCCCATAAGACTGAGGCCAATGAGGGCACAGTATCCAGGGCTAAGAGAAGAGGTGGGAAGGTTGAGCAAAACAGTGCTGAAGCAGCTGAGGTGAAGAATAGCTGCAAGCTATATCCCATGAGAAGAAAAGGTGAATAGAGATAGAAACAGGGAGATTTTGCAGCTGGAGGTAATCAAAACCAGAAAGTTTGAGCTCCAAAGTGAGAATGGCAATGTAGAAATGTATTGTGAAATACAAGGGTTGAATGAAAAGTAATGTCTCCACCTTGGTAACTCCTCAACAGATGGCAGTATTGATATGCGGCAGGTACTGGCTTGTTTAGTAGACTCTCCTCTACAATTCCATTTTGGCTGGAAGCCTTAGTATTGAACAGTTGTGTTGTTAAAGTGCAAAGTATGGAACCCTACACAGACAGTTGGTCAATGCGACTTGAGCAACATGCAGTCATTGATTTCTTGACAGCAGAAAGTGTCACTCCAAAGGAGATTCATCAGAGAATGTAAGCTGTTTATGGTGTTTGTGTTGGTGTGAGTACTGTGCATTGTTGGGCAAGTAAGTTTAAAGATGTTGAGGTGGGAACATCTGACTTGTGTGACAAACAAAGAGTTGGATGTCCTGTAACAGCAACCACCGAGTTTCACAAGCAAAAGTTTGACAGATTGATTCAGGATGATTGTCAAATGTGATGAATTCCCTACCTTTTTAGGCCCAGGGAGAACTCCGGAAGTAGGCCCAGGAAGTTCGGCAGCCATTTTTATGAGAGGGTGCACAGAGGCAGCCATTTTACAGTACCCATTTCCTAGAGGGGGCGGAGCTTAGGAGCAGCCTGGAGGGAAATGTGGAGGAGCTGTGTAATTGTCTGGGAGAGAATGGACGGAGCTTAGTTTGAGGGCAGAGAAAAAAAGCCTTGAAAGTGTGCGTTTTACATTCTGACAGGCAGATTGGTTCTGAGTGTTGAAGAGATAGGTTCTGGTGTTTAAGAGAGTCAGATAGACTCTGGGTTTTGAAGAAGTTAGGTTAGAGAAATATTCATAGAGCTATTAGAGAAAGAATAACTGGAATACTGAAGAGGAACAGATCCTAGAGAAAGGACTGTTTGAAGTTATAAGAATCTAGTCAGGAGAAAGTGCTAGTTTTCCTGAGGGACTTAAGAGTTTAAGTGCAACCAAGAAGTGTTTAAGAATTGACCTGTCTTTAAAGTAACCATATGCTTTTTACTCAATACTGCAACCATTAAGCTTAAGTGCTTGTATTGCTAACGTTCACACAAATAAACAACATTGTTCTTTGTTCAAACAATTGTCTCAGTGTGTCTCTAAAAAGAGAAGAATTTCTAAGCAAGTTATAGAAACAGATTCTATACATTTGGTGGCAGCGAAGACTTAAAAGATTCTCTATAAGAAACACCTCAACATAGTACTTTAAATGGTGGCAGCAGCCTGAAGATTATTTTGCCTTTAACAAGTTCAAGTTAAATGCCCTAAGTCTCTACATCATATCACTCAGAGAGAAATTTCAAGCATAATGGACATTTCACAAGAACATGTGAGTCAATTTGTTGCTTTGCTTGGCTATTGGAAGATCTGTGCATGATGGGTTGCGGAAACAGAGTGTCAACTTCTTCCGTGACAGCTTCAGAAAACTTGTTCATCATTGGCAGAAATGTATCCAACTGTCTGGTGATTATGTGGAAAAGTGAATAGTGGTAGTTAAAGAACACATTCTAAGGATTATTTCTGCATTTGATTTATTAAAATATTCCCATCCAAACCCCAAGTAATGAAGGTGGAGGCATTACTTTTCATTCAACCCTCGTATATCTGCATTGTCAGAGGTGGAGAAAAGAGAAACAGTCCCTACAGTAGGAAGCAGGAGGAAACCATCCTAATGTTGATTCCAACAGATATTAAACAACAATGTTCTGAACTTTTCTCAAATTGTTATGAATTACCTAGTTGAGAGATGCAGTTATGTTTTGTTTTTGTTTTTTGACGTCTAGTGGAGAAGCAGTTACTGTGAACCAACAAGCATGGGCACTGCAATTTTTCACATTGAGATTCTCTAAACTGGCTTGCCGTGTTGTGCTTTCTGTCCCACTAGTGTCCTCCTGGTCTCAGCCCCATGAAAGATGGCACTGGCTGCTATGATCGCCACATTGGTGTGGATTGTTCAGATGGATTCAATGGTGGCTGTGAGCAGCTCTGTCTTCAGCAGATGGTACCTTTGCCAGAAGATCTTACTTTATACAATATTCTCATGTTCTGTGGGTAAGTTTCACAAACATTTTTGTGTTGTGCTTTCTAGAAAAATGGAACAGCTTTTGTTAAGTTTTTGAGTACTTATTGGTTTGGTTGTGTTTATATCTTTACGCCCATATTAGCATGCATAGATTTCATGGCTCATAGCTATTCTGGTGCTGCTTCAGAGTTCCTTTTAGCACTTCTGTTTAGTTACTGCTGGCCCTTCCTCATTAGTTTAATTGATTAAATCCTGATAGTAAGTATAGTGTTTCTGTACTCATTGCCTATGCACCTTGATGTGAGGAAAGAGGACTGGATGTTGGGCTCTTTTTGACAGAATGCCTGTTCTCTGAGAGGTGCACCTTTCCTATACTCTTTTATAGATTTCCCCTTTCCTGTATGCCGTTTGATCCTTCAATTTGCCCCAGAGAATTTCTAAAATCAAATCACTGTATGTACATTTGCCAGTTTGTAACTTAGTCTTTGTGCAAACTGATAGCAAACTTTTGGGTGACATGTCTGGAATGTGTTGGACTACAGCCTGCATTCCCCCATAACCAGCCGAAATGCTGGCTGAACTGCTTGGGGAAAACTGGATCTATAATGCCATGTAATCCAGATTATCAAAGCAGACAATCCACATTATCTGTTTTGAACTGGATTATATGAGTCCACACTGCCATGTAATCCAGTTCAAAGCAGATAATCTGGATTTTATATGACAGTGTAGATCCAGTCTTTGAGAGTTGCAGAACAGCATATCTGAGCCCCCTTCTTCACAGCCACATCTACCTATATAAATAAAAATGTAATGTTCGTTTGTGGGATTAACCAAACCGAAAAACCACTGGGCAAATTGACACAAAATTTGGACATAATACGCCTATCAGGCCAACAAGTGACCATCACTCAAAAAAATTGATTTTGTCATTTGCGAGTTGTAGTTGCTGAGATTTATAGTTCACCTAAAATCAAAGAGCACCCTGAACTCCACCAATGATGGAATAGATCCAAACTTGCAACACAGAACTCCCAAGACCAACAGAAAATATTGGAAAGGTTTGGTGGGCTTGACCTTGAGTTTTGGAGTTGTAGTTCACCTACATTCAGACAGCACTGTAGACTCAAACAATGATGGATCTGGATCAAACTTGGCACTGATACTCAAGTATAAACACTGGTGGAGTTTGAGGAAAATAGACCTTGACATTTGAGAGTTGTATTTGCTAGGATTTATAGTTCACCTACAATCAAAGAGCATTCTGAACCCCACCAATGAAAAAATTGGGCCAAACTTTCCATACAGAACCCCCATGACCAACAGAAAATACTGTGATTTCTGGTGGTCTTCTGAGGCCCTTCTGATGCCCCCTCATAACCCCCCCTCGGGGTAGCGACCCCCAGGTTGAGAAATGCTGCCTAAAGGCCATCCTGTCTAACTCCCTTCACCAAGGCAAGAAAACATAATCAAAACCCTCCCGAGAAAGAGCCAGCCAGCCTAGATATAGATAAATAGATATGATTCACACACACACACATGCCAGATATAGTATCATAGATTTCAAAGGGACCTCTAAAGAAGGACAATGATCTGTTGCATGTTCCAGAGTAAGCAAACCAGACAATCTCTACATCAACACTGACAAGAAATACTGTTTACCCACAAGCCAACACTATTTTCCAGGTCACCACACTGGGCCACAGCAACGCGTGGCAGGGGGCAAGCTAATAATCCATATTATTAAAGCAGATAATCCACACTGTTGTCTTTGAACTGGATTATGCGAGTCCACACTGCCATGTAATCCCATTCAAAGTAGAAATTTGAGTTTTATATGGCAGTGTAGAAGGGCCCTGAGTTTGGAGATGGTGCCCTTAAAGCATCCCCCAGAATCTTTCACCACATGCAGGAATTCATCAATAGAAAGATCCATTGTTTTTTAAAAAAGGCTGAAATCTGAAAAACAGACTTGAAGTGTTAATCCAAGCGTTATTTATCAAATAAGTTTTCTGTCTTTTTTTCTTGACTATGTAGCATTAAGAAATGTCTTACATTTGCATTTTGTGTTGGTTATTGACAATAATAATACGTATGTGTGTATGTACATTTGCATTCTTTCACTCTCCCAACTCCTGAAAATATAGGCATTTCCTTCCAGGTTGCGTACTTTCCCTCTAAGTCTCCTCTAATAAAGACTTGAATAAGCTTTAATGTTTTTTTTTCTTGCATTCACTCCTATGGCAGATGCATTGAAGATTACAAACTGGGTGTAGATGGACGGTCATGCCATTTAATTTCTGAATCCTGCCCAGACGGTGGTGACTGTGAAGAGAGCCGAGAGCTGCCCATGAACCAAACTATCTTTGGAGAGATGTTCTATGGTTACAACAATCAAACCCGCGAGGTGGCACCTGGGCAAGTGCTGAAAGGCACATTCAGGTGATGGTGGCATCAGATCAATACCTTTTTATTCTCTTGCTTTCTAGGCCTGTTCTTGGTAGTTGTGTTTTACTCCATGCTGTCATATTTTTACAACATAAGCTAAACATAACAGTCTACAAGTATCTCAAAGAATTTACAATCTGAAATGACAGTGCACATATAATAAAACATGGTTTAGTGTAACGTGCTTAGGGAGAAAGAACAGAGATAGTAGTTTAGGGTCCACGCACTCCCCAATCCACTTTTGCAGGGCCAGGAAGAGTATTCTTAAATGAATGCATTGATGATTTTGTATAATGTTTTAAAAATGATATTACTGTTTTAATTGTAATTTTATGGTGTGTATGTTGTTAGCATCATTTGATGCTTATGTGAGGCCAGCCTGAGTCCCCTTATGGGGAGAAGGGCAGGGTAGAAATGTACAAAATAATAATAATATTAAATGTATAAACCAGGAATCATGGTTTAAAATAAACTCTAATTTTTAAACAAAATAGCAAAGCAACTTAACAGTTTGTAATTGCCATATTTTGCAATTGAATAGAAGTTGCACATAATTACAGCCACAGACCCGTACCTAATATTATTGTTGCCTACCATAGCATTGCACTTAATTCCCGGGCCCCCTAGAATTTTTGGGCTTGCACAAATCTTGGCCGGGCCTTTTAAATGTTTAAATTGCCTTGTACAGGCAGGATTACTTTTAATATATGTGTGTTATGGCGACAATTTTTATGCTTATATTTTGTTTTATTAATCTTATGGCTATGTTGTTTTTTACTCTTTTTTGTGATGTTACCTGGGAACTGCTCTGAGTCCCCTTGGGGAGATGGAGTGGTATATAAATAAATTATTATTATTATTATTATTATTATTATTATTATTATTATTATTATTATTACATGCCAGGACTCTAGTCTGAATAAATCATGAATTAACTAGATTTCATTCATAATTACAAGCTAAGAATTTATTAAAGCAAAACTTAAAATTTGGCAGAGAAGCAAAAGGGAAAACGAGTACCTTAGCCTTAGGGCCCTTCCGGACGGGATGAACTTGGTTCTTTTTTACCCAGTTCCTCCCAGGTTTCTGTCCCCACACCCTCCCACAACTCAGAGCTTTCCTTCCAGGGGTGGCTAGATGCCATTCCAGGTCAAACAAACAAATCCAGCCCCCCTCCAATTCCCCATTTTGCTCTCTAAAATTTACGCAAGGGGCCTGCTGGTAGCATATGCCCCTCTGGAGTGTACTCCTGACATGCAAAAATGATGAGTTTAAGATCTTCTGGGGAGGCCCTGCTCTCGGCCCCACCTCTATCACAAGTGAGATTGGTGGGGACGAGGAGCAGGGCCTTCTCGGTGGTGGCCCCTCACCTGTGGAATTCACTCCCCGGGGAAATTAGGTCATCGACATCCCTCCTCTCTTTTAAAAGGAAATTAAAAACATGGATTTGGGACCAGGCGTTTGGGTAACCTGGCAGATAGATAAAGGACAATAACGACTAGAATTGATAGGAACTGACAATGTGGAATGAATTTATGGATTCTGAGCTGGCGAACGTTGAGCATGAGATTGGTTTTATTGATTGTGATGTATAATTGATTGTTTTAACTGTTTATAATTGTTTTAATTGCTGTTATACATGTTCTATTTGTACTCTTGTGTAGGCATCAAATTGTGCCTTTTGTAAGCCGCCCTGAGTCCCCCTTGGGAGTTGAGAAGGGCAGGGTAGAAATATGTGAAATAAATAAATAAATGAGTCAGGAGGTGGGAGGGGAGGGGAGGCATTTCTTTCCTTCCCCTACCCACGTATCTTGGGTAAGTTTTGGAGAGGAAAATGACTGGGGGTGGGAGGAGAAGGAGGGTTCCCACCCACTCCTCTGGTTTTCAAGAGCCTAAAGGACTGGGATGGCTGTGAGGATTGAACCCTACCCCCCACCCCCACCCCAAGACTGCAGAAGTAGTCCTCTGAGACAATCCCCACAGGGCCCACACCTATGATATCGAGCTCTTTTGGGGGGGTCCCTCCAGGGAGGAGAGCCCTAGGACTGCACCAAAGAGAGTCCTGGATACCTTGGTGAGATTTCCGGAAGCCAATCCAAGAGCGCAGGAATATTTTAAAATATAATAAGCTCACCAGAGGCGGAAGAAGTCCAGCGATCGAGGTTTATTGGCGTTTCAGCTGCAATCGGATGTAATTGTAGGGATAGTTCTTCTACAAGCATCCAGATACAAAGATTTCAGGCATTTTTATACAGTACAGGACAAAAGAAAGCAGTTTGAAACTCCTGCCGCCCCTTGCCAGCCGGCTTGACGCTGATTGGCTGAGGCTGGAACAGCTGGGAGGAGGCTTGGCGGCCCGCCTCAGCTTTCAGCCAATCAGAACATTTCCTCGCCTCGGGAGGGCCAATGAGCGCCCTCCGCTCGCTTCTGGGTCTGGACCAATCAGGAGTGAGGAGGCGGGACGCCCGCGGGCAAAGGGGGAAAGATGATGGGATTTGGGTTTCCTGCCAGCTGGAATGCGGGCTTTGTTTTAGGCGGGAAAAGGGTGATCCCTTTAAACAAAGAGGCTTTCCTGTCCTTGATGGGTCTGGGGAGCAGTACGAAAGGCTAGTTCGGTATCGGACCACCCGGGGGGTCAACGATATCTTTTTGATTAAATCAATCTTTTCTTTCCTAGTCTCTGCTGACCCCCTTCCCCTCGCTGGCCTTGCTCCGAGGGCTAGGGTTGGGGATCAGTAGTATTGTCCATGCTGATGAATCAATCAAGGGTGATTAAGGGAGAGGCTTGAGCTCTTCCCCTTAGGCAGTTCCTGGTCACGCCACTTTTGTGGGGCAAAGGTCAAGGGGGTGATGGCACAGAGGAATTCATAAGGGTTACATACATATCATAATCATAAAACACAGGCATCACTAATACACAGGCATTTCATAATATCCCAACCCACCACCCACCCCAGTTCATCCTAGTAAGAAAAGATTTTATTTATTTCATAAAAAAGGAAAAGGAAAACTAGAAGTCCCAAAGTCCAGGCGGGGAGGCTTGGAGGTAGAGGTCAGCCCATGGTTTCAGGCTGGCCAACAGGAGATCGGTCCTTCCTTGAAGCAGGAGCTGGAGCTGAAGGGGGAGCTGGGTTCCATTGTCTTGTCCTTGGTGGAACTAGAGCTCCCAACCGGGGATCGGGCCTCCCTGCCCGATCCTTCTCATCCGAGGCTCCCACTTGGGCAGCGGCGGTGGGTCCCCGGCGGCGGGGGCCATGCAGGAGCGAGCAGCAGCGAGCAGAACGGAGCAGTCCGGAAAAGCCGGCAAAATTTTGACAATCAGCTGTTTCCTCGGCCAAATTTAATATTTAAACAAAAACAATTATTTCACGGGTGCAGGAGTCCAAAATGGAAAAACCGAGATGGCAGTTAGTCTTAGAATTTGATGTAGAAAAATATAAAATTTGAACGGGGCCGATCCGCCATGTTGTTGTTTTGGCGGATAAGGGGGCCCATTAGGAAAACCTCCGTATCCGCGGTTTTAACTAACACAGATTCGGGGGCCCGGGGAGGCCGGGAAGGCATCCCCGGTGAGCTCACGGTTCCCCGGAGCTCAGAAAAGAGTTTATTTTATGTTAGAAAAGTTTCAGTCAGTAAAGGACACAAAGTATCAAGCGGAAAGGATTTAAAGTTTCAAATCTTAAGTGTTTTATTAGGGGCTTTGTTACAAAGAGAGGGAGAGGGGAAAGTGAAAGAAAAGCTTCATGCAGTCTTGAGTTTAGCTTGAGCTGCTCGCTGGGGCACATTCCATCAGTAGGACCCAACTTGGCTCTCCGGAACTGCGGAACTCCCTGCTGTGGTTTAAACCAGCTTGAAGGCGGGAGATTCTGCCGCCTGGGCGGACATCACCTAGAAAGGTTCAGATCTTAGTTTAAAGGTCCAGATCATTCCAGATGTGTCATTAAACCGGAGGAAACTGGGAGATGCCAGTTTGCTCCTGAGTTATTTGGTTTTATCCGAGATGTCATTTGGATGCCTCAGGGTAAAACTAAGGCAGTTCCTTAGTTTTTGGCCTGTTTGGAAGGCCGCTTTTCTCTGCTCAAGTTTCACTCTGCTTGCTACAGCTTAGTATCTTGCGGGAAAACATCCAATGCAAAGGAAGGAAATTAGATAACTTTTGGGATACTAGAATCAGTTTCAGAAAACACATTGCACCCAAGCCTCTGAGAGTGTTGCTGGAGACAGGAAAAGAACAAGAACATGTTGGTAGAAATTTACTTTATTTTGAGAAAAGCAGCTTTGAAAGGGGACAGGAAAAACACAGGTGAATGTAGGAGTGGAGACATCCCGGGCCCCTCCAGACTGGCCCGTAGCCAGGATTTTGTTTCGGGGGGAGGGAGGCTGAGTCTGAGTGAAAGAGGGTCTATCCTAGCAAACCTTTTGTATTGTTACCCCAATACCCCCATGCATATGGGATATGTTGAGCATGGTGATCAGATCATGATATGAATAAACATAAATAATGTACCAGTAAGGCCTTCTCGCGGACCACCATGAGAATTTCGGGGGGGGGGGGTGAAGCCCCTAAGCCCCCCCCTCCCCCGGCTACATGCCTGCCTCCAGACAGTATTAATATTCCAGGATGTGGTCCACAGAAGAGGAGGTAATTAAAAATTGTGTGATGAAATGGGTGGAGAACTTAAAAAGATCGATACCGCTATCAGATTGGGAATTAATATGGAACAAAAAACTAAATTATACATACGCAGCTGACCTAAAGGAAAACTGGCTTAAAATGTTCCACCGGTGGTACATTACACAGAAAAATTAAGTTTAATGTTTAAAAACACATCAAAGAACTGTTGGAAGTGTAATGACCACAAAGGGAGCTTTTATTACCTGTGGTGGACTTGTAGGGAATCCCAGAAATATTGGAAACTGATTCATGAAGAGTGTCTTTAAAATCTTTTAAAAGTCTTTTTAAAAATCTTTTTCAATCTTTAAAAAAAACCCCAAAAACCTGAATATTATTTATTAGGAATAACCGATGTAGATATAAAATCAGATTAAAACAAAGACATCCTCTTTATGTTTATGACAACAGCCGCTAGGATTATTTATGCGAAACTGGAAGCACTGGGATTGTGGCGCAGCTGGCTGAGTACCAGCTGCATTAAGATCACTCTGACCAAAAGGTCATGAGTTCGAAGCCAGCCCAGGTTGGAGTGGGTTTCCAACCAATTGTGTGTAGCCTGTTGTGAACCTTTGCAACTCGAAAGACAGTTGTATCTGTCAAGTAGGAAAATTAGGTACCACCTTAAAGTGTGGGGAGGCTAAATTAGCTGATTTATGAGGCCATAAAGAAGACTCCAGCAAAGCATTCCAGCGGGGAAGCATGCGGTAATGCGAAAGTGCTTCATCAGTGTTGCAGATGGACGATGAAAATGACAGCTCCCCTGGCGGCCAGGAAAAAAAAGTTAAATAGCCTCTGTGTATGTCTGTATATGTTTGTATGTCAAAATTGGCACTGAATATTTGCCATATATGTGTACACTGTAATCTGCCCTCCGGGGTGAGAAGGGCGGAATATAAAAGCTGTAAATAAATAAATAAATAAATAAATAAATAATCAATATAAATTTAGCAGTTTGGGAAAAAAATGTGTTTTAGTGGCTTAAAATTCAGTCAAGCAAACGAGATTATTGAGAACTTTTACAAAATGATATTGAGATGGCATATCACCCCATCAAAACTGGCAAAAATTAACAAAAAATGTGATATTAAGTGCTGGAAATGGTGTTCCTGCAAAAACAAAACAAAACAAAAAAACAAAACATAACAAAACCCACAAACCTAAAACTAAAGGTTTCTGGGATGCAGTTGAAGAAGTACTGCAAACACTCTCTCTCTCTCTCTCTCTCTCTCTCTCTCTCTATATATATATATATATATATATATAAACTTATCACTTAAAACTGAAGTATTTCTACTGGGTTTACCTGATGGAAGTATAGAAAAAAGCATTTTTCCAAAATGCAGTAACAGCTGCTCACATTATTTATGGAAAAAATGAAATTAGAAAAGATTCTTTCAATAGGTGATTAGTTACTAAAATTGATTCAATGGATAAACTCTTGAATATTGAAAGACAAATTTATATAGAACCTCCAGAACAATTAAATATCATTTTACTGTATTTTTGGGGGGGAGGGGGAAGGTTTTGACAATTAAAATAACCCCCCTTTTATATTTCTACTTGAGTTTTGAAAGTTTACAATATGGATGGAAAATGTCAGATAAAACAAAGTATATAATTAAGGATGGTTTCTAATCATTATTTAGTTACATCAGGGAGTCAATTAAATAGAATAAATAAAAGGATAAGGTTCATCACAAGAATTGCAAATTGATGCATTTTATATTTTTATCTAATTGTTAACATCAATATTCAAGCAAATCACTATGTGATGCCTTTTAAAGTGTATACGCACCAGATGAAATCAATTGTAAATAATATGATTAAAAGCTCAAATAAAAAATAAATTAAAAAAGAAGATTCGCTAGGAGGCACCTACCTAACCTCCAAAGAGAGAGATACCAGGAAATAGACCTCGGACACTGGCCTTGGAAATCATGTTCATCCATATGGTTTATTAGAGAGTGGAGCATGTTGCCCTTGAAATAGATTCTGTCTCCTTCGTTGTCTCTTCTGTGTGCTTAAAGGGGTGTCCCAATGAGCTTTTGTCAACAGTGATTGAAGATAGAATAGTGGGGAAGCAGAAGTGTAAGATTTCATGAAGTTAGAACAAATGATCCTTGAAGATCGTTTCCCCTCCAACTGTGCAATGCTGTGAAACAGAACTTGTGTCAGATTTTTAGTTGCTGAATACAACTGTCTTTCTGTCTTTTTGTGGAGAATTTAGGTTTTTTCTAGATGAAACTGAGTGTTTTCTGACTAGTGCTTGAGAAGCTTCAAGGAAAAGAAATTAGAGTTTTGATTTAGCTAGTGATATGACACAGAAGGACTCCACAGGTGATGGAATTGACATTGAATAGAAAAGATTCTTGCTATTGCAGGACATTTCATGTCCTGCGTGAAAGCCAAATACAGCCTGTAACTGTACCTACAGAGAAGGGATAAGGGCAGTGTATCGTCCCTTTCCAAATAAGAATTGTGCAGTCCAACAAATTTTCTTCACTCCTCAAATTAGTGGCATTGCAGTTACATAAAACAATTAGAAATATGGTTTAGGGATCCAAAGGAAAAACAAGTGAACAAATTTAACAAAGGGGATTGAAAACAGCATACATCACAGTATTGTTGAAGGCTTTCGTGGCCAGAATCACTGGGGTGTTGTGTGGTTTCCAGGGATCCTTTGAAGATTCATCTGTGACTGGCATAGTCATAGATACAGGTGAAGTGTCAGGAGAAAATACTGCTAAATACTGCCATACAGACAGAAAACCACACAACACCCCAAAACATAAGAGTGCTCTGTCTGAATGTTTTTTGACATTACCTACTGCATTGCTCGAAATTTGGAGAAATTATTTATTTATTTATTTCCTTCATTTCTACCCCGCCCTTCTCCCACAATGGGACTCAGGGCAGCTTCACATAAGCATCAGTGATGCTGTCAACATATACATTCGATTAAAAACAGTAAAACTCAATTAAAACATTATAATATTCATCAATAAATTCATTTACACATTCAGTTAACATGCCTCTAAAACCAAGATCCAGCTAGATAAATCCAATGTTGTAATGTCGTAATGTTCAAAGTTTCCTTTCCAAGCTGCCATTGTCCTCTATCAACGCCTCTAGTTGAACGCCTGGTCCCACAGCCAGGTCTTCAGTTGTCTCCTGAAGGACAGGAGGGAGGTGGCCAGCGTGATGTCCTTAGGGAGGGAATTCCACAGACCGGAGGCCACTACTGAGAAGGCCCTGTCTCTCGTCCCCACCAACCGCGTTTGCGAGAGTGGCGGGATTGAGAGCAGGGCCTCTCCTGATGATCTTAGGCTTTAATAATAATAATAATAATAATAATAATCCTTTATTTGTACCCCACTACCATCTCCCGAAGGACTTGGTGTGGCTTACATGAGGCCGAGCCCAAATACAATAGTAAAAACAATAACAACAACAAAATAACTCAAAAACCAAAGCAATAACATTAACAACACACAATGACGCAATTAAAATCAATGGCAGGCTTTATGATGGTTCATAGTGGGAGATACATTCAGACAGGTAAACTGGGCCAGAACTATTAGAAAAAAAGTTTAATTTATATTTGGAGAAGTAATGCTCTTAACCCTCTCTGATATTACTAATTCCCGGATGTAGGCATTCATACAACTATCCAAGCACTGAAATTGTAAGAATCACAGAATGATAGAATCAGAAACTGAATTCTAGGACTGGTTCCTATTTGCTGCCTTGGACCTGTAAGTCATTTTGACACTGAATCATGTTGCCTTTATCATTGTAGAGAGAACTGTACCTCTCTACCAGGGTCTGTTGAATTGATCCATTCCATTTAATATATGCTGAAAATCTCTTTCCTCCTGCTCCTCTTCCCTCCTCCTCCTCCTCTCCCCTTTCTCTTTCTTTCTCTCTCTCTTTCTGACTCCTTTTTTTCTCCAGGCAGAATAACTTTGCCCGTGGGTTGGAACAGCAGCTACCAGATGGGCTAGTGCTGGCCACTGTTCCACTAGAAAACCAGTGCCAAGAAGAACTATCTGAACCAACCCCTGACCCAGATTTTCTAACTGGTAGGTTATTCCAATCCAAGTCCTTGCCTTTCATCTTTTGTGTCTTCTCAACACTGTGCAGTTTCAAACCCAGCCTGAGAAAACTGTAAAGCTATACCAAGATTATATTGTCTGCCATTTAGAAGATGATTATTGAGGATGAGTTAAAAAATCATCCAAGAAATTTTTAGAAATACAAACATTAGAAATAACACTACACATTTTTGATTCTTCACTCTCCTCCATCCTTGATCATTAATTCAGAAGAAAGAGAACAAAAATTGAAAAAAAATGTTTCTGGTTTGAAAGTTGTTGAGATTAACTTCACAATTCAGCAGCAGATCAGTTGCACAACTTCAGCGCTTTCCAGTAGCTTCTACCTGCACAGTATTTTCAGTCAACTGCTCCCACAGCCTGCAGTCACTCTGGAACCTTTTGCAGACACTTGAGCACATGCCCAGCCATTGTCAGTTTTACCATTGTCTTTCCCCCAGTCTAGATGACATTACAAACTTACCACAGCACACAGTTATATCTTGTCTTAGCAGACAGGTTCTTTTAATCAATTACATAGAGCCTTCGACGAACAACATCACAGCACGAGGAGAGAAATATACACTGTACATGACTTCCTTATATACAATTCTATACAATTACACATAGCAATCTCTGATTGGTTCCCAACTCATTAACTTAACTCAGACCCAGGATTACATCATTCACAATCACCTGGACTAGGCCAGAACACATTCCCCAGATGATTCCCTATATACAGTTAATGCATGACTTAGCACTTCCAATAGAAGCCCATTAGCAGTGCACGACTCAGCTGTATTACATTACAATACATTGTAAAACCTGACAAAAGTGTTATTTCCCATTTGATTGTGCAGTACTTACTTTGAAAGTAGTTGTTATGCACCAGAAACCTTGTTTTTGTGGCTGCCACAAACTATGTCGAATTGATTGAGACTCTATGAGATATTCACTGAAAAATTATAGCGAAATGTTTCACAGGATGTCCTGGAAAAACAATGTTTTTGCAGTTTAATAAACTTTTTCAGTGTTTTTATGATAAAACCAATTAGAAAATGACATTTATAACCCAGGAATAAAAACCATGCTATATAGTGTAATTAGATGAATTTGAGGAAAGTACGAGTCTGGGAAATATACAGTGAGTAGTTGACAGAGAGAAAATGAGAGATTCAGCATTCTGTCTGGACATTTCATTACACTTCAGTGGCATATGAATCACCGCAGAAGGCAAGCCTGAGGAAGGAAGTGGTTCCATTCTTTCTTTCAGAACTTTGTATCCTCCTGGCTGATGATCAATTTGTTTGTTTCTTCCTTTCTTAAAGGAAATAAAAGCTTGTTTTTATTCACTAAAATAAGCAGATCAGGCATTACTCTGAATGCACATAAGGGAGCTGACATGCTGAGTAAGGAACTTCTCTTTTCCCCCTCCTCATAATCACTTCTGAGATGAGATAGTAAATTTAATGTGTTTGGGAGCTGAATGCACTGAATGCAATTGAAAGGAACCTCAGTCTCTACTCTTCCTTCTGATTTACTGGAAGCAGGGGGAAACCAAAATGCTGCAGTACTTCAACTGCTTGGGATAGGTTCCTCCAGTTCACGGCACAGAAATCCTTTGCCTCCACTAGACAAAGTCCTGCTTTGGATGAATAGTATGACCTAGACAGCATTGGAGCATCATGAGTTTGTAAAATGGAGAGGGCCAGGGTCCAGTGAGGAGTACATGTGCCATCATGGACCTCAGAGGTTTACCTACCCCTTGTTAGATAATTTGGTGATTGTGGATCAAGCACCCCAAAATGAGAGATAGGCACAATTGCTGGTTGGTAGTGACAAGGAGGATACCAGCAAGGATGTGTTATTGCCCCAACTTTATTCTCCATCTTCATTGCTATGATGCTTCATCTTGTTGACGGGAAGCTTCCCACCATAGTGGAAATCATCTATCGGACAGATGGCAAGACTGAAAGCCAAAACCAAGGTTACAACAACATCTGTTATAGAACGCCAGTATGCTGATGACAACGTCGTCTGTGCTCATTCAGAAGAAGACCTATAAGCCACTCTAAACACCTTCGCAGAAGCATACGAGAAGCTCGGCCTGTCATTGAACATCGAGAAAACCAAAGTGCTCTTCCAGCAGTCACCAGCCAATCCCTATCCAATGCAAGAAATACAGCTTAATGGTATAATATTAGAAAATGTTGATCATTTCCACTACGTTGGCAGCCACCTCTCCACAAAAGACAACATTGACACTGAAATACAACACCGCCTGAGCTCTGCGAGTGCAGGTTTTTTCTGAATGAAGCAGAGTGTTTGAGGACTGGGACATCCATAGGGATACCAAAGTGCTGGTTTATAAAGCTATTGTCCTCCCAACCCTGCTGTATGCCTGTTAGACATGGACAGTCTACAGATGTTACATGCAACTCCTGGAACAATTCCATCAGCGTTGCCTCCGGAAAATCCTGCAAATCTCTTGGGAAGACAAGCGGACAAATGTCAGTGTGCTGGAAGAAGAAAAAACCACTAGCATTGAAGTGATGATCCTCTGCCATCAACTCTGCTGGACCAGCCACGTTGTCTGAATGCCTGACCACTGTCTCCCAAAGCAGTTGCTCTACTCTGAACTCAAGAACGGAAAAAGGGAATGTTGGAGGACAGGGAAAGAGATTTAAAGATGGGCTCAAAGCCAACCTTAAAAACTCTGGCATAGATACTGAGCACTGGGAAGCCCTGGCCCTTGAGCGCTCCAGCTGGAGATCAGCTGTGACCAGCAGTGCTGTAGAATTTGAAGAGACATGAATGGAGGGTGAAAGAGAAAAACATGCCAAGAGGAAGGTGCGTCAAGCCAACCCCGACTGAGACTGCTTTCCACCTGGAAACCAATACCCTCACTACAGTAGAAGATGCAAATCAAGAATAGGGCTCCACAGTCACCTACAGGCCCACCAGAACACTGACCTTGGAAGACCTTCCTACTTGGACATTGAGGGATCGCCTGAGAAGAAGACCAGCAAGGAGCTGGGATGTGTGCGGATGTTGGAGTTATATACTGTGCTGATGGTACAACCACACTATTAGTCAGTCCATTATCTTCCTGATGGCAATAACAATGGGTGATCACCAGACTGGACCACAGCAACGCATGGCAGGGGACAGCTAGTAATAATAATAATAATAACAACAGAGTAAAATAATAAATAACCTTGACTCAAGTATAAGCTGAGGGGGACCTAAAAAAGGAATGAAAAACTAGGCTTATACTCGAGTATATACAGTATTTGGACAGCACCTCTCAAAATCCCCCAGCCACATTGCCACTGGTTCTTTGAGCTAGTAGATTCAGGGAGCTATAGTCTCTCTCTTCTGAGTTTTGGAACCCTGTCATACTCAAATGACCTGGTGCTGATTCAGGATTGAGATTAAGCTGTGAATGAGTGAATTGCAGGTGGGATTTATGGTGCAAGCACAGAACTCCTGACGTTTCCTATTTTAACTGTGACTTGAGGTTCTCAGCATTTCCCATCCTCGGTTGCCTCCTTTTATCCTTCCCCTGCAGCTGGCATTTATGCGACACCTCAACATCTCTGTCCACACCCCTTGGCATAAGCGGAAGCTACAGTTTGCTCATGGGAGCACATTCAGAAATGCTCAGTCTGCTGTGCATGGAGGGGGGGGGGTAGTTCATTAAAAATGTAATTAGTAGAGAAATTAACACTGCAGGGTTGTGCCTTTGGGATTGGTCTTGCAGCAGAAAAAAGGCACCAGGAGGGGGAAAAGGAAGGGAAGCTTGTTATCTCATAAGTGAAGACTAGGCTGGAGTGGAGGTGCGAGCATAAGCAAACTCCTTTCAAGTTGTGTTTTTAATTACCGAAGAGTTGCTGACCTATGGACCTTTCTTTGGTATAATTAGTTCCTCTCTTCCTTGCTCTGAAAAAAAAAACACCTCTTGTGTTGCCTTTGCTCTTCTCTTTTCCTCCTCTTGCACCTGTCTGTGTATCTCTTGCTGTCTTCGGCCACATTTAATTAGGCAGCTTCTTGAATTGAGTGTATTGGCCAGTCGGCAGCTTAAAAGCAATTTGGGCTTTTGTCACATGGGAAATTGAATTAATGTAATTGACCATTATGGCGCAGTTGTGTTCCTTGGCTCAGAAACAAGCTTTGTGAAGTCCAAGAGGGATGCACAATCTCAGAGGAGCTGAAGGAAATTAACTCAGGTAGACTCGAACAGAGATGGTATGGGTGTCAAATAGTAGGATATGATATATGTGTTTTGCACATGAGGACAGTCCCCTTTCTGCTTAGATTTTTTTAAAATAAAATATCCTCTGTGAACAACATGTATTTTGTCTTGGAAATCCATAAAACTCAGGCTGAATCTACCTTGCTTTATAACCCAGAATCTGATCACAGGTTATTTGCTTTGAACTGGATTATGTGAGTTCATACTACCAGATAATCTATATAAATAAAAATGTAATGTTCATTTGTGGGATTAACACAACTCAAAAACCACTGGAAGAATTGACACCAAATTTGGACACAATACACCTATCAGGCCACCGAGTGACCATCACTCATAAAAACACTGAAAAACACAGCAGAAGAGACTTAAAATGCCAAAAAATACATTACAACGTATGCGTAAAACCACATATACACACATATATACACATATCCACAAATATATTCACACACATATACACATATATATATACACACACAAAACACATATACACAGACTGGGCCACAGCAACGTGAGACAGGGGATGGCTAGTCTGTAATAAGCAGGTAATCTGGGATGAGATCTGGGGCTATAGGGACGTGTAGATCCAGCCTTAGATTTTAATATGTTGCCACACATTTCTGTCTGAATGAATCTATATAAATAAAAATGTAATGTTAGTTTGTGGGATTAACGTAACTCAAAAACCACTGGAAGAATTGACACCAAATTTGGACACAATACACCTATCAGGCCACCGAGTGACCATCACTCATAAAAACGCTGAAAAACACAGCAGAAGAGACTTAAAATGCCAAAAAACCCACAAAAATACATTACAACGCATGCGTAAAACCACATAAACACATATATATACATATATACACATATCCAGAAATACACGCACACACACCTATATATATACACAAAACACATATACACAAACTGGGCCACAGCAATGTGAGGCAGGGGATGGCTAGTCTGGAATAAGCAGATAATCTGGGATGAGATCTGGGGCTATAGGGACGTGTAGATCCAGCCTTAGATTTTAATATGTTGCCACTCACACATTTCTGTCTGAATGAATCTATATAAATAAAAATGTAATGTTAGTTTGAGGAATTAACATAACTCAAAAACCCCTGGATGAATTGACACCAAAATTGGACATGATCCAGCTATTAGGCCAATGTGTGACCATCACTCATAAAAACACTAAAAGGGGCTTCAAAAGCCAAAAAGCAAAAAAGATCTCCTTGGATTTCTTTCCACTCATCCAAATCCCTGCATATTTCCAATTTCCTATTCCTGGACTGCAACTCCCAGCAATCCTCCAGATAGATAGATTAGATAGAGATAGATAGGTAGGTAGATTGATCGATCAGGACTGCTGGACTCCCAGCAGTCCAAGAATAAGTAGAGAAGAAAGAGAGGGGAGAAAGAAGAAGGGAAAGATAAGGGGGGAGGAAGGGAAAAGAAGGAAGGAAAGAGAGAAGGAAAGACAGGAAGGAAGGAGAGAAAGAAAGAAGGAAAGAAACACGGAGGGAAGGCTGCCCACAGCAACGCATGGCAGGTACAGCTAGGGGGTGTATATAACATTACTCCTCTTTCAAAACCTAGGAACTTTACAGAAAAGGGGCATTTCATGTCTTTGTAGACATTAATATGAATTATGTTTTGAATGAGGGAAAGTTTACATATTGATGTGTTTTAAAACTTAATGAAGGGGGAAAAACAAGCAAAAATACTATATAGTGCCATGATTATGTTTGTGTGTAAATGTGTGTCTGTATAGATGCATACATGCATACAGTGTGTATTAATTGTAATTTAAGTTAATTTAATCTTAATGTTATATATTGGAATTTTATGTGTTTTAAGGCATTAAATAATTGCCCATATGTAAGCCACCTTGAGTCCCTTTCGGGGTAGAGAAAGGCATGGTATAAATAGGGCAAACAAACAAATAAAAAAATATAGTAAAGTGAAGCATAATACACAATGTGTTGGCGGGGACGAGGGACAGGGCCTTCTCGGTGGTGGCCCCCTGCCTGTGGAATTCACTCTCTGGGGAAATCAGGTCATCTTAATCCCTCTTCACATTGAGAAAGAAGGTAAAAACGTGGATGTGGGACCAGACATTCGGGTAATTGGGCAGAAATGAAATGTTGACAATGGCTTGGAGATGGATTATGGATAAGTTAAATTGAGCATTCAATCACAGAATTTGGCTAGATAACGGCCACTAGACTGGTAATCGTTTAGTAGATTGTAAGTATATTGTTTTAATGTTTTAAGGTTTTTAACTATTATAATCATTGGTTGTTTGTATTTTATTATGTGATATCAAATTGTTGCCTGACTGAAAGCCACCCTGAGTCCCCCCCCCCAGGGGGTTGAGAAGGGCGGGGTACAAGTGTTCGAAATAATAATAATAAAATAAATGTATTAAGTTCATCTGACAGTCCTACATCACCACTGCTACCACTACTGTGTTTTGTGTTGCACTAGGATTTGCTGGCAAAGCGCTCTTCCCCTCTACTATGAGGATAGCTGCGTAGTTCATATGGATTAGGAAAGCCTGAGAAGAGCTGGCAAATAACTCAGCTTCCTTGCTAATTACAATGTCCCTATGCTTTGATCCTCTGAGCCCTGGACACTGGGTGTATGTTCAGACCAAATTGCATTATTATTGGGAATCAAATTGGGTTAGGAACTGTGTTTCCTAGCTGCTTTTATCTGCCTCCCCCAGTGATGCAGACTTCTTTGCTTGCCATTTTTCTTGCAGGGATGGTGAATTTCAGTGAAGTGTCTGGATATCCCCTCCTGCAACACTGGAAGGTGCGCTCTGTCATGTACCATGTCCGACTCAACCAGCTGACATCCTCCCAGTGTAAGTTATGACTAACATTGAGGTGTGATAGATTGTGCTCTCAACTCAGACTCAGTAGGTGAGGCTTAAGGATGGGTTTGCTTGCAGAGAAATGACTGGCAATAACACACCTTAACTTTCTACAAACAAAGCCCTCCAAGAGCATTACCGTTATTTGAATCAATCTATAGTGATAAACCAAATCAGACTAAAGAACAAGTATCAAAATTATGTCAGATAATTCAGGAAGAAAAATGTGAAACATTAAATGGATTAAGATTGGTATGGGAATCAGACCTAGGATTTAAAATCGAAGAGAAACAATGGGACTTAATCTGGGAAACTCAAGCATATAAATCGATTTCTGCACAACTGAGAGAAAATACTTTGAAAATTATACGTAGATGGTGCTATTATCCACTTACACAGAATCAATAACAGCATCCATATACTATGTTGGACAAAGTGTGGAGCAACAGAGAACTGGAATCACAGCTGGCTAACGTGCCCAAAATTACGAAGATTCTGGGATGAAGTTCTGTCATGGGGCCCTTCAACACAACCATATAAACCAAAATATCAAGGCAGATAATAGGCTAGTGCAATCTGGGTAAACTAAAATCAGTTTGGGTTGTTGTAGTTTTTTCGGGCTATATGGCCATGGTCTAGAGGCATTCTCTCCTGACGTTTCGCCTGCATCTATGGCAAGCATCCTCAGAGGTAGTGAGGTCACCTCACTACTTTTGAGGATGCTTGCCATAGATGCAGGCAAAACGTCAGGAGATAATGCCTCTAGACCATGGCCATATAGCCCGAAAAAAAACTACAACAACCCAGTGATTCCGGCCATGAAAGCCTTTGACAATACATAAAATCAGTTTCAATGTCCCAGATTTTAGTGGGGGTCCTGATCTATTTTTTGGGAGCCTCTTGAATTTGGGGGGACAGAAATCTGTTTTTGGTTCAGGAAGCCAAAATATTTGTTTTCTATCCAGCCCATTATGGGTGGGACTTCCCAGGATCCCCTTCCCATCATTTTAGGTATTGTTTGTCCTTATATCTTTCATTAAGACCTAGATTAAAAACATCAGAGTGGAAAAACAATAACATAATTGTTTTGTTTTTTAAAAAAAGAAATTAGACGGTCATCAAAGGAAAGAAGGAAGTCAACAACATATTTTTTGTAAACTTTCTTTTTATTATTATTTTACATATTTTTGCATTTTTTTCCTTTTTCCCTTTTTTCTTTTTCCCTTTTTTTCTTTTTTCGTAATTCCAATTTATCTTTTTTAATTACGCTTTTTATTAAGAAATTTTGCATAAAGTAAAACTGATGTTTGAAAAACATAAAATAAAAGTGGTGGAACAATTGATGAATTCCAATTTATCAATTTTTTAATTTTCATTTTTCTTCTTTTTCTCTCTATCCTTTCATTTTCCTACTTTTTATCCACAATATTGTTCCTCCACTTTCAATGGAATTTTCTTTCTCTGAATTTTTCCTTGTGATAAAATGTCAATAAAAATAGTTACAAAAAAACCCAAACCATCACAGTTAAAATATTACTCTTTCTGCGATCTTTTCCCTTCTGTCTATACAGGAGACCAGGTTTAATGCTTAGTTACAGCAGTTTCTACTTTAGAGGAGACAAGCACTACAGGTGCACATGGCACTCTCTCTCTTCAGCACGCAGCTTTGCAAGACTTTTAAGGAGGCTTCCCCACTTCCCAGGGAAGGAAGAGCAATCGACCTGAAGCTATACTACCCTGGGCTTCCTTTTAAAAGCCCTCTTTTTTGTCTTGATTTGCAGACCCTGGAATGGTGCCTCCCCCCTCCCCACCTCGCCTCGTGCTTTTCCTTCTAGCGGCTGCCTCCCTCCCGCACTCCACTTGTAAACGAAGGCAGCTGGTTTTTGACAGCCACTGTTCTGTTCTGTTTCAGCCAAAAAAACCCAAAAAAAACAAAAAAACATGGAGGCTGAGCCCTTGTCAGTATGACCATCCGAACAAGCCAGACCAGCCGGATTAGCCCAAGAGAACCTGCCAAATTGAATGTGTGCACAAGCCTAGCAGATAACACACAATATCTGCTTGGAACTGAATTATGTGAGTCCACACAGCCATATAATCCAGTTCAAAGTGGATTGTATACAACTGTGTGGAAGGGCCCATAGATAAAACAAATGTTGAAGGAAACAGTACACCTCAAGGGAGCTTTATCAGTGGTCTCCATATTCAAAAATGAGAATAAAGGACTTAGTAAAAAAATATTATCTTGTTCTTGCTATGTTCTTTAAGGCTTGAAATAGTCAGAACGTTGGGAAAAACTAGAAAATTTTTCAGTAAACAGGACATGGGCTATCACGCTAAATAGGATATGGGCTCTCAGAAAAGTTAACCTATAAATCAGGATTAGCAAAAGGACAAACAAATAACCTATTTTAAAATACATAGAAGCCTTTCATTATTTTTATATATATATATATATATATATATATATATATATACACACACACACACTCACACACACACACACACACACACACACACATACACATACATACATACATACATACAAAAGAATTGTGAAATTATAACAGCAAACGACCAAAAATGGTTAAAATTTGAATGACTCAAAGCCTGAGAACTAACAAAGCAGTATTTGTACTAAATTATGTGTATGATAGGGCAGGATGGGGGAGCATAGATTGGGAATAATGAATGTAACAATGCCATTGTTTTATGTTAATTGTTTCTATTATGAAATAAAATAAAAATTGAACTTTCTACAACATTGGAAGGAGGGAGGGCTAGAAGAACTGCAATGACAGAATCAGTAAACATTCCCCCCCCCCTTTTTTTTGGCCTACAACTCAAAATCCTACATCTATCAGGTCTAGTTTCCATGCTAGCTGAGAAGTTGTCAGAGTTATAGTCCAAAGAAGTATATTTTTCTAGCTCTGGCTGAAACTTTGAGATATATTTCCAGATCTGGTAATTGGATATGAACTGACTTTTTCATTCTCTCACTTTTGGAAAAGGAAAACTAGACGAAAAACTAGATGGAACCAGTTCAAAAATACAATCATTTCCAAGCTGGGGATTTCTCTTAACAAGGTCTTTGCTAGCTGGAGGTTTTGTGGAGTTGTATTCTGAAAAAGCAACTATTTCAAGTGTTGCTTTCTCCTGCATGCTTTGTTGTATATTGTCCCTGTGCCCTCTGCAGCTTTTGGCAATGCCCTCCATTCTTTGGATGGTGCCACATCCCGAGGAGATTTTGTGGCTCTGCTGGATCACTTTGGCAACCATTATATACAAGAAGCTATCTATGGTTTTGAGGAGTCTTGTTCTATCTGGTATCCAAATAAGCAGGTCCAGAAGCAGCTCTGGCTGGAATATGAAGATATCAGCAAAGGTAAGGAGAGTCGCCATTGTTGTTTTCTTTAAAACACAACACACATCTGTGGAGGAAGGCAGAGAGCACTGGGGATACAATGGAATAGGGCCGACAATCTTCTGTTGCCAGGAATTTCTGCATAAGGAATAAATTATGCATATCTCATTATTTGCAAAAGGTTGCTTAAAGTGCATAATAAATTTTGATGGCAGTGTTTGTGTTTTAAGAGCTCTCATGGGTCATAAAGGGCATGAAAGAAGGAAAACTATTGAAGGGCAAAAAGTACTGAACTGTGTTGGGTCAAAAAAATGTGGGGAGAGGAGGGAGAGGAGGGAGAGGAGGAGGAAACTGCACAGGAGATATAGAGGCCTCAGATTTCTCAGCTTCTACCTTGTAATGAAGCTGCTTTTCCTGTCTGTGCTGCCTTGTGAGTTAGAAACTTGCTTTTTATGTTGAAAGAAAACCGGTCTATCCTCCAGGAAATAAAGCCCGACTGCTCATTGGAGGGAAGGATATTAGAAGCAAACTTTGGCCACATCATGAGAAGACAGGAAAGCTTAGAGAAAACAATGATGCTGGGGAAAATTGAAAAGGAAGAGGGGCTGACCAAGGGCAAGATGGATGGATGGTATAATAACTCCTTAATGGCCGTCTGGGCAGGGGGTCAGACAATCCCACCGCTGCCCCACCAATTATAATAACTAGACAGATGGCAATACGATCAATCACACCATCTGACACCAATTATAAAGACTCCTTTATGGCTAAACCATATAACTGGACAGGGGGCAAACAATCCCACCAACTGTCCCTCCTTTAATAAAGGATTCACTGGCACCTATACAATGCTTGAGGGAATGTCTCTCTATTTAAAAACCTTCGCTGCCACCATAAACCAAATGAACAGGAACCCTCTAGCTGGTTAAAATAAGAAAAGGCTTTTTAGACCACCATGTACTGTGTCTTTTAAAAGGGCTTCTTTGTAGGAAGACAGATGAGGTTGATTTAAAAAGAAAAGGGACTAAATCCACAAATGGCACTTGACTCAGGCTTAAGTTTCAAAAATAACAAGGAAAGTTTATTGAAGTAAAAGTTACAGAATGAAGAGAATGCAGTTTCATAAGCTTGGCTGTTACAGTTAAAATGTTCTTGTTCTTAAAAGCGTAACGGTTGCATGAGAGAATGGTTCTTTCTTGGTTACAGTTCCTATTACAAAACCCAGCTATTTTTCCCTAAAATAGCTGTAACCAGTTTGCCACAGCTTACTTCACTGTGCAAACTTCAGGCAAACTGCCTATTCTAATCACGAACTCCTAATAGCTGTAATCCTGCTCTATCTCTAACATCAACCAGAACTGAACTGACTCACTAAAAGAAGCTTCTTGCTTTCCCTCCAACAGTCTAACTCCGCCCCCCTTTAACAAAGCAATCCTGGCTGTTTCAGGGCTGGCTCAGGCCTAGGCCACTCCCCCTCTCTGAACTGGAGCTTTCCCTAAACCAAAATGGCTCCTGCTGTTCTCTGCCAGGCCTTTCTAAGGCTTAACTAACTAGCCTGCCTCTCCTAGGCCCTGCCACCCCGGCTGGCAAGGTAAGGGATCTTCACAGATGGCATCCTTGAAATGACTGGATTGACCTTGAAGGAGCTGGGAGGTGGTGACAGCCAACAGGGCGCTCTGGCGTGGGATGGTCCATGAGGTCACAAAGAGTCGGAAGCGATTGAACGAATAAACAACAACAATATGTTGAAAGAAAATTTTTGATTCTCTGGAATATTTGTAACTGTACAAAAACAATTTGCAAAACATGGGAAGAGCTGAGAAGGTGGAAAAAGAGTTAAAGACTAACAGGTCAGGGATTTGTGAAATTTATGCTACCTCCCTCCAGGAAGGATGGTTTGGTAAGGATGGAGCTGTCACATTTTGCAAAGCCTGCCTTTGTAACTTTGATTATTTTTAATGGTTCTCTCTCGGCATATCTCCTCTGTAAAATGGCAGTCATGCCACCAAGTTACCTTTAAAGAACTAAATACTTTGAAACCTATAAGGAAACTTGATCTAGATAAGATCAAGGTTGGGTAATATGTCCACAGTTAAGGTCCAAAATGAAAATGAAGTGTAGGTTTGATAGCAAGAGCTTTTTTTCCTGATATTTTAGTTCAGCCAGCTTTTGCACAAATAAAGGGGATCTTTGATTCCCATGATAACATTGGACTCTGGTTCCTATTAGGCCCTATTAGGCCCTGACAGCTTTTCAAATAGTGAAGAAGGAAGGGGATTATAGATCATCAACATCTAGGGGGGCAGATTTTCTCCATCCTTGGAGGGCCTTTAGGACAGTGCCCATCAGGGTTGCCAAAACAATCCTCTTTTACTATCAAGAAGTTCCTTCTAATCTTCAATTAAAACGAACTCTTTTGTAACTTCAGACCATTAGACATGGTCCCATCCTCTGCGGTTACTCTTGAGATGTTTACAGAATGCAAAATGTTGTCACCCTTTAGTCATTACTTCACCAGACTGAACATGCCTAACTCCCTCAATCTTTCCCAATATGTTTTGTTCTCCATGCCATGTATCATCCTTCTAAGCCAGTGGTTCTCAACCTGTCGTTCCCTGGTTGTTTTGGCCTACAACTCCCAGAAATCTCAGCTAGTTTACCAGCTGTTAGGATTTCTGGGAGTTGAAGGCCAAAAAATCTGGGGACCCACAGCTTGAGAACCACTGTTCTAAGCCTTCTCTGAACCCTCTCCAATTTGTCTACATCCTTCTTAAAACGAGGCACCCAGAAGTAAATGCATTACTCCAGATGAGACCTTCCATCTTGATAGATTGGGGAAAATATGGTTATTCCGCCTGCTCTTTGCCACCACCATATAGTAAGTAAGTAAAGTTTATTACGGTCAATGACCAGATCACAACATGGGGACCCAGTCCCTTACATTCATATCAAACCCAAGGGGTTATACACTTCAAACTTCAACAAAATTTAAAATCTAATCTAAAAACCAATATAAGTAGTTATTAACACCTAACTCAACCCACAAGATCATCCGACACAGTCTAAAGAGAGGTAGTGGGGATGGCACCGGGGGGGTGGGGGGGGTGGGTATATCCAACCTTATAAATATCAGTCTAGATCTGATTTCCCATATATTCCAGGAGAAGCTTAGGTCTTTTAACCCTCAATCATTGTCCGCCGAATTTTAATCACAGCCGTGCAGAATTTAGCGACGTTGTACGTACCACCATATTGTTATTCTACCACTCCATCCGATGGGCTGATTATTTATTTATTTATTTATTTATTTATTTGTGGTATTTGTATACCACCCTTCTCAACTCCAAAGGGAACTCAGGGTGATTTGCCCATCATATGCCACTTGCCCCTTCCATTTTGCCATGGAGCCCATTATACGATGCACAGCAACTTCCAGCTGGACTCTGTGGTGAAAGAGGAGAGCAAGTGGCATATGCTGCTGCAACTACATAACAGGAGGATTCCCATGTTGCCTTTGGAGCAATGGGAGGAAGTTGGATAGAGACACTTCCCTCATGGGATGGGGCAGATGTAAGTCGGGCAATGCAGAGTGTGGACGATGGGTTCTCCACACACCCTGCCAGGACACCATGGATTCGCCATGATGTGTGGCAAACCCCATAGGCCTTTGTAATAAGGTCCTCATAAGAACTCAGGATAAATTCCTTTTAACTGCCCCCCATGCCCCCACTTCTTTTTCTTTTCTGTGACATTGCTTTGTTTCTTACATAATGTGGTAATTTTGCCATTATAATCTTCCTATTGATTACAACCTTGAGAACAAAAAAAGTACATTTAAAAAATGGAAGCAGAGGTGATTGGGTTGCCAAGAAATGTCCAAGACTGCACAGGACTGGTAGGTCTCTTGCATAAATTAGTGGAGCACAGAAATAATCTTTTTCTGTTATAATTTGAATTCTAAATAACTGAAAGAAAGTTATTCTAGAAATGATCACTTTGGGGGCAATCATGTGGCTCTCACAAAGCTGGGAATTGCGATTATGGAAATCCCTGGCTGAAAAAGCAGACGATTTAACTCATAGGCACAGTTCACTTGGCTCTCCTCCTGCATATGCCCCATTGAAATGAATCTGGTGCAGCTCTCAGACATACCTAGTGGGACTACCTTCGTGAATTGTATCTATTGTGTTCTAGTGAATTGCATCCATTGTTCAACAGAGCCTCAAATAACTATTGTGCCAGCACCTCAGCATTTTCATTTTGCTGGTTATTCCTCTTAATTTTTTGGCTTATTCTTGTTCCAGGAACTCCTTTAAAGAAATAATCCATTTTCTAAAGATGTGAATAAAATTGGTTTCTGGCTTACCTGCAGATGAGAAGGTTAGCAATCTTGCATTGCAGGTGGAATTGATGAATTATCCTTTTACACCACTTAATTTTGTGATTTGGGATGTCACAGAGACATCCGAGAACAAGGACAAATCAATGTAAAAAGTTATCTGTATCAGCAGAGGTGTTGGGGAGAATCTAGATATAAAATCTGTATATAACTAGCAAGCCCAAGAAAAAATTAAGGGGTATATGGTAGCTACCAAATTGAACACGAGGCAGTGGTATGATATTGTGGCAAGGTGCCATCTTAAATGTATAAAGTGAAGCATAAACTCCACTTAGGCAGAAAAAATAAAATGCAAAGATACAGAATGGGGAATGCCTGGCTCGACAGCAGTATGTGTGAAAAAGAGCTTGGAGTCCTCATGGACAACAAGTTAAACATGAGCCAACAATGCTATGCAGCAGCTAAAAAAGCCAATGGGATTTTAGCCTACATAAATAGGAGTATAGTGCCTAGATCAAGGAAAGTCATGCTATCCCTCTATTCTGCCTTGGTCAGATCACACCTGGAATACTGTGTCCAATTCTGGACACCACAATTTAAAGGATATGTCAACAAGCCTTTGTCTACAAACTTTTGGAAGCATCTTTAGAGGGAGCCAGTCCTCTCACAACCAATTCCCTTT